ATGGACCTCTTCTACATTCATTGGGGAGACTCTCTCCATGCAGACACCTTGATTGATTTTTGTTGCGGTAGTTTTGTGGTTTTTGGTTGTTTGCTTTGGCACCTTTCAACACCTTGCATTATTACATTTATGCATGCAAAACACTCACTTACACTACTGATTACTGATTACACACACCATTGTTAATTATACTTAGTCTACTTTAGTTAATAAATATATATTTTGGTATTCCTTGTCTCCACAGTGTCTCCCTTTTTGTTACGAACTTTGAGCCGGTTCGTGACACTAGTAAGGTTCGAATGTGGAGGGGGGTGACGATCCTCCCACTCTGTCTGCCGTATTCTCTCTCTTTGCTCTTGTTTCCTTATTAGGATGCCGGTGGGCGGAGTTGGGAGGGTCGTCAGCTACATGGGAAACACCTGGGCCCGGGTGTGTACCAGGATAAATGGACCTCTTCTACATTCATTGGGGAGACTCTCTCCATGCAGACACCTTGATTGATTTTTGTTGTGGTAGTTTTGTGGTTTTTGGTTGTTTGCTTTGGCACCTTTCAACACCTTGCATTATTACATTTATGCATGCAAAACACTCACTTACACTACTGATTACTGATTACACACACCATTGTTAATTATACTTAGTCTACTTTAGTTAATAAATATATATTTTGGTATTCCTTGTCTCCACAGTGTCTCCCTTTTTGTTACGAACTTTGAGCCGGTTCGTGACACTAGTAAGGTTCGAATGTAGGTAGGGGTATTGGGGCTTCCCTATATGCTGATGATGGAGCTATTTGGAAGAGGGGAAGGAATGTCTCTCGTAACCAAATCTATTCAACAAGCTATAGTGGATGTTGAAAGATGGTCGATTGGGCCTCCCAAGTGGTGCAGCAGTCTAAGGCACTGCATCGCAGTGCTAGAGGCGTTACTACACACCCGGGTTCGATCCGTGCTGTTTCACAACCGCCCGTGATGGGGAGTCCCATAGGGCGACGCACAATTGGCCCAGCGTCGTCCGGGTTTTAAATTGTCAGTGGCGTAGTCTTGCTGTATGTTCTGATATAAGTTGTTTCGATGTATGGGGACGACCCAATGCGGCGTTTCTAAGTACAAATTATCTGGGCCTATGATTCCATAGGAGCGGTTGCATGGAAGGTCTAGCATAATGTTAAACACCACGTGTAACGAAGGTAGTGACTCTTATCCTGGGACTCTGGTTATAAACTGAGGTGTTGCGGACAATGTTGATGGTTTTATAGTATGCTTGATCAGACGACAATTGATTACGGTGTAATTTTGATGCAAACACTAGCACACTTGACTTACGAGGCTGACAAATCGTATATAACTTAAGATATTTATTGGTGATTTAAATCATAATTGTATGGTTGCATGTCAGCAGTGTGATCCTTTTGGTATACGAGTGTTAAACCGGTTTGTCATTAGCTTATGGTTAGCGAAAGGGGTGTGAGTTGTTGATCATCCCTTGCTATTGTTTCTATGATGCGTGGGGATGGATCGTACTAGTAGACAAGCAGTGGTTGCGTTGTGACAGTGTAAAGACTTGCTGATTGAATGGTTGAGGAAGTTGTAGGTGCAGCCCTATTTTGTGTGTAGTGGGTTTTGTTGTTCTTGGTACCTCAAATCCTGTTGTTGATCTATACAACAACAGTAAGAAACTAAATGGTCACAAGCAGTGTATAGGGATAACTGGTTGACAATACATTTGGTAGTTTTTTATGCCTTTTTACGACTTTCACAGATGGTCAAGGACCCTATAGGTGGCGCACAGGGCAGGCGTTTACGTTCCTGAATTTGATGATGCAGATATTTGGAAAGAAGAATCGTACAATTCAGAGTTGAATGTGACAGATGGTGATGGGACCTCAAGTGTTGAGCAGTTAGGCACTAGATCAGTCTGACTTACTCACAGGTGTTGATGTGGTTCAAACCGCGTGATGGGGTCCATGGGCGACGCACAATTGGCCCAGCGTCGTCCGGGTTTTAAATTGTCAGTGGCGTAGTCTTGCTGTATGTTCTGATAATATACAGTTGTTTCTGTATGGACAGCCAATAGGGAGAGTTTCTAAGTACAAATATCTGGGCCTATGATTCAATGAGCGATATACATGGAAAGATCATGTCATAAATGTTTAAACAAAGTGTAAGAAGGTAGTGAATCTTATGCGCTCGGTCTCTGGTTATAAATGGGGTGCTGACAGACAATCGTTGATGGATATTTATAGAGCTCTGATCAGGACGACAATTGATTACGGGTGTATAGTTTATGGAACAGTAGCAAAGACTTGACTTCAGAGGCTGGACAGAATCCAGTATATAACTTTAAGGATATGTATTGGTGCATTTAAATCAATAATCTGTATGTGTGCATTAGGCAGGTGAAATGCCTTTGGATATACGGTGTAAAACATTTTCATTAGCTTATTGGGTTAGGCTGAAAGGGTGTGAGGTTGATCATCCCACTGCTATTGTTCTAGATGACTGGGGAATATACTAGTAGACAAGGCAGTGGTTTTGGTTGGACAGTTGGAAAGCTTGCTGATGAGAGTGGTTTGAGGAAGTTGGAGGTTGGCCCTTCTTTGGTGATAGGGGATGTTCGTCTGTGGTTACTCCAAGATCCTGTTGTTGATCTAACAACAACAGGAGAGAAAATAAAACATTGGTCAGAAGTCAGTGATATAGGGAAACTGGTTGACAATTACATTGGTAAGTTTTTATGCATTTTTACCGCTTTTCACAGATGGATCCAAGGACCCATATAGTGGGCGCACAGGAGCAGGCGTTTACGTTCCTGAATTTGATGTGCAGATATGTAGAAACTAACAGATGAACTGTCAGTATACTCAGTTGAGCTGTTGGCAATAGTAGTTGCCCTCCAGTGGGTGGAGGACTATCAACCTGTCAGAATTATAGTATGCTCAGATTCCCTGTCTGTATTGAATAGTTTATCATCTGGCAAATCCAATAAGAGTGACCTACTATTGGAGGTATTAATGTTATTATGGAGAATTGAGAGACTTGGTGTAGTAGTGAGATTCTTCTGGGTCCCAGCCCATTTGCGTGTGGAAGGTAATGAAATTGTAGACCAGATAGCTAAAAGAGCTTTAAAAACGAGATATAATGAATATTAATGTGCCGCTGGCTAGAGGTGAGGCCAAATGTAAGATCAGAGCCATTTTGATAGACGTGTGACAGAAGAGATGGGACTCTGAGCCCAAGGGCCAGCATTTATATGCCCTCCAAAGAAAGGTCAGTGGACCAAGATTCAAAGGTCAGATTAGGAAGGAAGAGGTGGTGTTTGCTCGATTGCATCTAGGACATTGTACATTGAACGCGTCATTACATCTGGTTGGTAAGCATGTGAAAGGTTTGTGTCTGGAGTGTATGGTCGATGAAACAGTGGAGCATGTGTTGTTATTAATCAAATGGCCACCCGGACTATTTGCATTGACCCCCCCCCCCTCACTGTTTATTATCAATGCATAGTCACTTTACCCCTACCTACATGTACAAATTACCTCGACTAACCTGTACCCCCGCACATTGACTCGGTACCGGTACCCCCTGTATATAGCCTCATTATTGTTCTTTTATTGTTACTTTTTTTATAATTTATTTTTAACTTTAGTTTATTTAGTAAAATGTTTGTTTGCGGACCGCCATTATATCATAGCAGAAGAAGAAGACTAGATCGTAGAAAGCCAGAGTGCCAGTCTGTTTGTGCCATCATGCCAACCATGTACGGCTTGACAATGACAGCAATGGAGCTAAGAGCATAAACAGATCTGAGACCAGGCTAGCTCTGTGTCAATACTAAAGATTATCTATTACATTGACAAGATAGTCCAGATAGTCCAGTGACCGCTCAAACAATGGAAATACGTGTCCTCAAAGATGGAAGGCAGGCGGGAGGAGGCGAGATCAGGTGGGACCATTCTAGACAGTGAGAAGGCAGATACGCGTGTGAACAATAGGCACAACTCCAATACAAAGTAGTTTTTTACAAAGTTGCGGAAAGGCGACGTGCGTTCACTTATATCAGTGCATTCGTAACAACCTAACCAGTACGAAACTTATATTCGATCAAGTAAGCCGCACATTGGAAATTAGTAATTCCATTTTATGTTGACAAAACAAGCGCACACATTTTCTTCAGAAAATTTTAGTAATGCAAAAGTAACCCGATTTGTCTATTTGCTAAGTAAAAATGATCTTTCAATATAACTATACATGCAATAATAATGTAATTATATTTAACTATATTATTGATACTCGATTTTTTTATGTTGATTGATGGAGCTTTTATTTTGAAAAAGCGTCCTACGGGAAGTGAGAGGGAAAATCCAGTAGGATTCACGGCTATTAGGGATTTTCCTTCAATTAATTTCGAAGCTGCAGTGCCTCAAGAAATACAATAGGACATTGCTAGCTAATAAAACACAACCCTTGCCATGTCTGAGACATACGGTAAGAAATCTTGACTAGTCGGGTCGCGTTACACAATAGATAGCCAGAGGCGATGGAGCAGGTGTATTGCAATGCCATCTAAACAAATAGCCCATGCTATGCTTTCATGTTTACTCGTGGATGGGGGTATAGCTAGCTAACATTAGCTAGCTGGCTAACTTTACTTTCGCTAGATAGCTTGCATGTCCGTCAAATGGCATCATTAATTGGTTTCTTAGTTAGCTATCTAAATAGCCATCTGAATGTTTGACAACTAGCTAGCTAGCTAAATGTCGACGCAAATGTAACGTTATACATGAAGCAAAAAATAGCTTCAGTTCTGCTAGCAAGCTGATGAACGTCTTCTGGATGCCTGTTGTGTGCGCCTGTTACTTAACTAACGTTAGCTAGCTATCTATCCAACTAGCCTAATGAATATGCATTCTCTAATGATGAGAATGATTATGAAATAAAATGAACTTAGTTTTTTTTCTCCTCTTCTAGATTTCCTGTTCAAATTCCTAGTGATTGGGAATGCAGGAACTGGAAAATCATGTCTTCTTCACCAGTTTATTGAGAAGAGATGTAAGTTCTGTCCAATGGATTGTATTGACATGTAGCTTATTTTAGGGACAGGCTACAATTTATGATTAAATTAACTTTGAATAAATGAATAGGCATTGTTGTGGGTATGTGTTGTGATATTAAGTGGCGCAGTGGTCTAAGGCACTGCATCGCAGTGCTAACTGTGCCACTAGAGATCCTGGTTCGAATCCAGGCTCTGTTGCAGCCGGCCACGACCGGGAGACTCATGGGCGGCGCACAATTGGCCCAGCGTCGTCCAGGGTAGGGGAGGGAATGGCCGGCAGGGATGTAGCTCAGTTGATAGAGCATGGCGTTTGCAACGCCAGGGTTGTGGGTTTGATTCCCACGGGGCCAGTATGAAAATGTATGCACTCACTAACTAAGTCGCTCTGGATAAGAGCGTCTGCTAAATGACTAAAATGTAAATTAACGTGGAATGATTTCATTTAAATCACAGTCAAAGACGATTCGAATCACACCATCGGAGTGGAGTTTGGCTCAAAGATAATCAACGTGGTAAACAAATATGTCAAACTCCAAATCTGGGACACTGCGGGACAAGAGAGATTCAGGTACTGTACAGTATGTGAGAGCATTTCACAGACCTACCCCTACTGTGGCAGGGCGTTAGACATTTTTCTCAAACCAGCTTGGACCGTTTCATGCATGCCCATCTCCAGCTGATCATTAGAGAACGTGTGCCAGATCCTTGGAACAGCAAGTAAATGAATCATGGCCAGCTGTTGTGGGGGAGATAATAATGCGGAGCGCAGCAACAATTCTGAAGCACTACTACTGAGCACCATAGAGCATTTTGTTTTGCACATTGGCCAACTCCTTATCCAGCTTGGATGGCACCGGATCAGCTTTGGAGGACAGCACTAAATTATGTTATGTATAGCTAACTATAGATATAGTAGGAGATGGAGAATGTCAAATTTGAGAATGTTAATTTAATAAATGTAATTATGTGTCAAATTTTCAAATTGATGCAGTTATGTATTTTCAACTGATGTTAGTTGCTTTCCTCTCCCAGGTCTGTGACACGGAGTTACTACAGAGGCGCTGCAGGAGCACTGCTTGTGTATGACATCACCAGGTAGGCTAAATGACCTACTCATAGGTGATCAGGAGAGTTGAGGAGAAATAATCCTTGCCTTATTATGGGTGGACCTTCAACGGGTATGCTGTTTTGGAGCTGTCGTCCATTTTTGTGAATAAACAAAACACAACTGTTTCTAAAAATACAAATATTGAATGTAGTACGTATCAATGGGACCTAGATATATGACTCATTGGTAGCACAGTGGCTTCCGATCGACTGTTTTGGAAAACACTGCTCTAACCTTCCTAAAGTCGAATGTGATTAAAGTGAACAGAACCATCAAGTCTGATTTGTATGTCTCCACTGCTCTCCCTCTCGCTCCATTGACCTGATCGTCCTCAGCCGGGAAACCTACAACGCCCTGACCAACTGGCTGACGGACGCCAGGATGCTGGCCAGCCAAAATATTGTCATCATCCTGTGTGGTAACAAGAAGGACTTGGACGCAGACCGGGAGGTCACCTTCCTGGAGGCGTCTCGCTTTGCTCAGGAAAATGGTGTGTTTAGTATGACTGATGATCCCTTTAACGCTAAATTCCAAGGGCTGTATGTATCAAGCATCTCAGACTGGGAGTGCTGATCTTGGAGGAGAACCTCTATGTAGTCTTATTAATTTTGTTCAAAAAAGGCAAAACTGATCCTAGATCAGCACTCCTACTCTGAGAAGCTTGATGCATACAGACCCAAATCTAGCCCCTACCCTCTGCTGTAGATCTGAACGTCTTGGAATTCCACAGAAGCCAAGGTGAAGCAATTACCATAAAATCCTAATTTATGATTGTTTGCACTGCGAATACTCCACTAGAGGTCACTGTAGGACAACTCACTGGTGTGAACTAGTGCCCACAGAACCATTGCAATTCATGTCCTCCACAGCTAAATTTACATTTTAGTCATTTAGCAGACGCTCTTATCCAGAGCGACTTAGTTAGTGAGTGCATACATTTTCATACTGCCCCCCCGTGGGAATCAAACCCACAACACTGGCGTTGCAAACGGCATGCTCTACCAACTGAGCTACACGGGACTGACTTAGGCTTAGGTGTTCAAATGTTACCAACATTGATGATAATCAATGTTAATATTGTGTCCCGCTGTCTTGTCTGTTTCAGAACTTATGTTTCTGGAGACCAGTGCTCTGACAGGGGAGAACGTGGAGGAGGCCTTTGTGCAGTGTGCCAGGAAAATCCTCAACAAGATAGAGTCAGGTATCTCTCTGCAATCAGTATCTTCTCACCTTAACCAACAGCAATGAAATTGTAGTTTACCAGCTGAACTCTACTGTTTCAGCTCAGGGACTTTATTTCTATCTCCCTCCCTCTCTCTTGCGCAACTCTCTTTCTCACTCTCCATCTCACTCTTTTCTCTCTCTCTCTGTTCTCTTCCAGGAGAGTTGGACCCGGAGCGGATGGGATCAGGGATCCAGTACGGAGACGCGGCGCTGCGCCAGCTGCGCTCCCCTCGCAGGGGACAGGCCGAGAGCGCCCAGGATTGTGGCTGTTAGTGAACACGCTCAGTGTGCTCAGATCCAAGGTGAGAGACTCCTCCCCCTCACAGCTGCCTACTGCAAAGGATTCTGCTCTGGGACTTGCCCTTGTGTTATCACACTAGTAACTCAATTAGTAGCTCAGTTTAGTGACATCCAAACAACTCCCTCTCAAAATAGCACGCACAAATACAGTTGTAATCGTAGATGGTGCTTTTCACATTCACATGTTATGTAAGAGGCCATTCAAAAGTCCTCTCCATTTTACAGTTGTCTGTGTTGCTTTGCATGGAGCAGGTAAAGCATTAATTTGTCATTTTGAGGAGCACCGCCGTGAGCTTTAAAGATTGGGCCATAATGAAACCAAATGCTGAAACGTGGCTAGTTTTATCAGCATTATTGGTGTCAGGATCATCACTTGCCCCCTCGGCAACGGGGGGTTCGAGCCCTGGCTCGGCCCACTGTCTGTACCCTTAACTACTTTCTGTACCCCTCTCTATCTGTACTTACATCTGTCCTGTCAAAACAAACAAACAATAAAATACATAAGGGGATTATCACAATGCTGATTGATCCTTGTTCTTCTCAAATGGTTTCCCTGAAGAGGCTTGCTAAAAGGTGATCTCTGACACTACTTTCACCAGTATCATCATACTTCAGGGTCATGTTAATGGTTGTGTCCCAAATGTAACTCCCTAAGTCCAGTGTTTTATTCTATCATACTGTATCTCTCCCTTGGGTGACTCCACCTCTTTTGTGAGAGGGGAAGCTAAAGGGGCTCAACCGTTTGAAAATGATCGAATGACCCTGCTCAGAAGCTGTCTGGATGTGGCTCCACACAACTGTTGTCAATACAGTGTTCTCTCTGGGCAGATATATTTAACCCGAGGTTCTGCTGACTCCTGTTGGGGCAAGGCATTAAGGGTCTCTGAAATGCCTTATTTGGGTATTGTAGTATTTCACAAAAAATGCCTGGCATAAATAGAGGGGTACAATGTCTACAAAAATAAATGCTCAATTATCTTGTCAATTACAGAGTGTAGAGTTGAGTACTTGCCAAATATTGCCAGCACGCAATTGTAACAAAATGTAACTATTAACTGCACGTTGACACAGAGGTTTCTTAGCTAAAGGGGCTAATTTACAAGATCCCCACTCACGTGTGTGTATGGATTCAAACCTCTCTCTGTCCTTGTTTTCAGGCATGTTGGTGAAGACTTTGAGGAAAGATGACAGATGTAGGGAACATGATACAGAGCTCATCATGGCGGAGCGACTCTTCCCTGACCTTCTTTTAACTTCCCAACTTCCGGATGTTCCGTCAGAGAGACCCACAGAGAATCCTGGATTCCTGGCCTCACACTGGAACGCTGAGCTTGTTCCTGGACCCCTCAGACACAGGCAGAGAGTCCTGTTTCATCTCCTCAAGCCCTTCAATCATCTGGGCTGTATTCATAAAGCGTCTCAGAGTAGGAGTACTGATATGATTAGTTTTTCCTTTTAGATAATAATGAACAAGATAACAGGGAGACCAAATCCTAGATCAGCACACTAAGTCTGAGATGCTATATTATTATGGGACCTGACATCTTACTTACACCCCTGTACTTCTACCCTACCCATTGCATCTTGCATTATGTACAGTATTATCTGTATAAAGAACACATCATACAGTCCCTCAAAGCAGTGGTTCCCAAACTGTGGGGCGCGCCCCCGTCGGAAGGCCCAATTATTTATTTATTTATTTATTTATTTATTGTTTAAGGAACTGTCAGGCTTTCAACTTACTCTTGAAAGTTGTAATAGCAGAATGCTCAGGGTGCAGTTTCTAAATTGGTAGTATATCAGCAGTTTTCCTCTTGTCATTGCAGACCTTAGAGCTATTTATAACTTGTCAGAAATGTCCAGATCGGCCTCCCGAGTGGCGCAGCAGTCTAAGGCACTGCATCGCAGTGCTTGAAGCATCTCTACAGACCCGGGTTTGATCCCAGACTGTGTCACAGCCGGCCATGACCAGGAGACCCATGAGGCGGCGCACAATTGGCCCAGCATTGTCCATGTTAGGGAAGGGTTTGGCCAGCCAGGATTTCCTTGTCCCATCGCGTTCTAGCGACTCCTTGTGGCGGGCCGGGCGCCTGCAAGCTGACTTCTGTCGACAGCTGGACAGTGTTTCCTCCGACACATTGGTGCGGCTGGCTTCCGGGTTAAGCGAGCAGTGTGTCAAGAAGCATTGCGGCTTGGCAGGGTCGTATTTCGGAGGACGCATGGCTCTCGACCTGTAACTACCAATTGGATATCACGAAAATTGGGGAGAAAAAGGGGTAAACGTAAAAACAAATTATAAAATGTCCAGATAAACTAGCCTGTGTCAGCTAAAGTTTTTGATTTTGTTGGAATGTTTGAGTCACTCAGATATCACATGAACACACAAGACATGGCAAAATGTGTGGTATTGCAGGAAATTAGCTTTAGAACTGCAGAAATGTCTCTGCCAACGAGGGTTGTGAACTGTTTGTGTCATGGACGGTGCTTGTGCCCATAGAAATAGACGTGGTGCGCCAGGGGGGTCGTCGGATGTTCCCCAGTGATGGAAGAGGGGCCTGAGTGAAAGTTTGGGAACCACTGCCTCAAAGCATATTTTATGGACTGAATATCAGTATTTCATTATTAGCTGAAGAATAATCTATCAATTATGACATGTCATGTTACGGTGAGAATTATCAATCAGCACTGTCTCACGCCTGCTGGTTTCATTGACCCATTATTTGGGTTGTTCTTTGTGTTGATATTATTAGTTGTTTTTTGCCCCCTAATTGTTATGAGTCATGTCATGCCTTTTTAATTTATTCTCAATAATATAGAAGCTCTTTTTAAAATAAACTATTAAAAATGTATGTTTGTATATTTTTATAAGGTGATTCCTCTTTATTACTTAAGTGTGTCTGTAATATCCATTTAGAATACTTGGTAACACTTCACGTTAAATTGCTGTTATACCTGTGAAATAAAATGTAATTACTATAGTAACTTTCTAATAATTATTCATAGCTATGTAATAGTATAGTTATGGAGTTGTGCAGGTTTTGTTATTACACAGGTGGATAAGCTGGCTCACAGATGGAGCCAATGCAGGGTGAGCTACTTCCCTTTTGACACCTTGCACCAAAGTTAATATGATTGACGACAGTCATTTAATTCAATGACCATTTTCCTAATGCAGATCATGGGCTTTTCAGTGCACTCTGGCTATGTTTATATATTTTTATTAATTGGTCTTTTGACCAATCAGATCAGCTCTGAAAAAGATATGATGTGAAAAGATCTGATGTGATTGGTCAAAAGACCAGTTAGTGGGAAAAGGATCAGAATTGGGTTGCCTGTCTAAATGCAGCCTGTGTGAAATGGAAGGCTCCAGAATGTCATTGTCTGTCTGCTTAGATTGACCGTTTGCTGGAGCACGATTGCTGTATCATATTGATATGGTTCCTGAGACGAAACACTTCTCCAGGCTCTGCCAGTTACAGTACCAAAAATGCCCATCAGTCCTCCTTTATGGTACTGTATGTCCTCTTCCCTCTTGTCCCATTTGTTACACTTGAGCATAGTACAGGATGGCATTGTCTGTATTTTTGTTAAATGACACTCCAACAGATTTTATTTTGAAGAATATCTGTGGTAGTGTTGAGGAATATGCCTTTCAATCTCATTACTATAGTAGATATTAACTGGTGTATGTTTTTCGACAGGCAGATCAATCAAATAAGTCAAACGATTTAGTAAAGAGTAGTTAATTCATTTTGTTAAGGCTAGCACACAGTGTCAAAAAATAAATATTTAAGTTTGATCATACAAAATAACAACACCTTAACAAAATAGTTGTGACATTTTTAATCAATTGGAGCTGGACATTTAATCCCTCCATACAAGTGTGCCATTCATGTTGACGGTGATCCACAACTCAACTCCTACAGGCTTTTTTCCAAGTAATTTATACTGAACAAAAATATAAATGCAACATGTAAAGTGTTGGTCCCATGTTTCATGAGCTGAAATAAAAGATCCCAGAAATGTTCCATATGCACAAAAATCTTATTTCTCTCAAATGTTGTGCACACATTTTACATCCCTGTTAGTGAGCATTTCTCCTTTGCCAAGATAATCCATCCACCTGACTGGTGTGGCATATCAAGAAGCTGATTAAACAGCATGATCATTAAACAGGTGCTACCTTGTGCTGGGGACAATAAAAGGCCACTAAAATGTGCAGTTTTGTCACACAACACATTGCCACGGAAGTCTCGTTTTGAGGGAGCATGCAATTGTCATGCTGACTGCAGGAATGTCCACCAGAGCTGTTGCCAGAGAATTGAATGTTAATTTCTCTACCATAGAGAATTTGGCAGTATGTCCAACTGGCCTCACAACCGCAGACCATGTGTAACCACGTCAGCCCAGGACCTCCACATCCTGCTTCTTCACCTGCGGGATGGTCTGACACCAGCCACCCAGATAACTGATGAAACTGAGAATTATTTCTGTCTGTAATAAATCCCTTTTGTGGGGAAAACTAATTCTGATTGGCTGGGCCTGGCTCCCCAGTGGGTGGGCCTGGCTCCCAAGTGGGTGGGCCTATGCCCTCGCAGGCCCACCCATGGCTGCGCCCCTGCCCAGTCATGTGAAATCCATAGATTAGGGCCTAATGAATGTATTTCAATTGATTGATTTCCTTATATGAACTGTAACTCATTAAAATCATTGAAATTGTTGCATGTTGCTTTTCTATTTTTGTTCAGTATAGTTTTACATTAACATACTTTACTATAGCACCGACAAGCCATTACACTGACAGGAAGATCTTCCAAAGCTTTTAATGAATAAAGACCTTAATGTTATTGCTGCAGTAAAATTGGTATTGTGCCATACTTAACATTAACATGTTGTGTACGAGCAGCTTACTTTCACATATCAGTGAATCAATTGTTATCCATAGCTGGTAGCGTATTACATTTAATGCACACATCCCATGGCTATGATCACTGTAATTGAAAGCATTGGCCAGGTTGCAGCTATTTGAAACATAATATTGCACAAACTGTCAACAATGGCTTAAGTACAAGTTATCTACGACTTATTACATCTATTTATTGCTAATTATTTAATAAAAATATGTACTAAATGTTGTTTTATGGTCTTAAATAGGTGGAAATAAAACTTGTGCTTGTTAAAACAATACTGACAAATAAAATTAATATATGATGACAACAGAAGACAAAATAACACATACTTGAAAACTCAACAAAATTCAACCAAACTAAACTCAACTAAACTAAATGTAGACCCTAAAAATGTACAGTATATACAGAACATAGGCAAATGTGCTGTTGAAGTCACTTGTGGAAAAATGTGTTCCTATTCCTCCAGAAAGTTTCCCTTGGCTGGGGCCTGGTGGTACAAAGTGCAATAAGCTGAGAACAGGACAATATAGTGAGTGCCAATGTTCCCTCTAAACTGCTCATTTTCTTTATTGGGACGTGTTTGTTAACAATACCACTGAAAATATCAAAAAAGAAGGTCCAAGCATCTTTGACAGAGGGGATCAAGCTGATTCTATACCAATTTACAGAGGCCAGGTCACGAAGGAAGGCTTGCTCATAAAAAAATGCAAGCGTCTATGACAAATCAGGAGAGGTCGTTTCACTGAGCAGCCATTACGAACACAGGCTGTAAAACAGTGATCACTAAGGTCATTACAGAAAACACCAGACTGATACCTATCAGGATTATTTGTGAGGATAACATCAAGGAGAGTAGCCTTTCTGGGTGTTTGGAGTCATACCTTGTGAGATTGGTAATAATCTGAGAAAGATTTAGGACTTGGTCAAGTGGTTTAAGCATGTCCCAGTTTAGATCACCTAGCAGGACAAATTCAGACTTAGTGTAAGGGGCCAGGAGAGAGCTTAGGGTACAGGCCGGTGCTGATGGTGGACGAGAACACCCAGCAACAGTCAACAAAGAGCTATTTGAAAGTTTAATGCTTAAAACCAGCAAATCAAATTGTTTGGGGACAGACTTGGTGGAGACAACCGAGCACTGAATGTGTTCCTTGGTAAAGATTGCCACTCCACCACCTTTGGAAGATCTGTCTTGCCGAAAAAGGTTATAACCAGAAAGGTTAACATCAGTGTTCAAAACACTCTTTCTTAACCACGTCTCAGTAATGACCAACACATCTGGATTGGAGCTGTGAACCCACACTTTCAATTGATCAATTTTAGGTAAAAAGCTTCTAGTGTTAACGTGCAGAAAACCCAGGCTTTTACGAGAGCAAAAATCAGTGAAGCAGATATCAGAGCACAATCAGAATTGGGGCTAGCAACAGTAGATGGGCCAGCGTGTACATGCACATTTCCAGATATCATCAGCAGTAATACAATCAGGGCACGGCAGAGGACAGGGAGAGCTCTGCAGTGTTGATTTATGACATTTGAATGTGCATTAGATTGCAAAAATATCATATTGTACATCAATTTCATCAGGTAACATGAATACAAAGCCGGCGAGAGGTGGTTAGAATAGGATGGGAGGCCAAGAGTCTGTGTAACCAATCAGAGTTCCGAGTGTGGGAACAAACAGTCTGTCCCACGGTTGGGTAAACAAGCAAGTCCATAGTCAACAAAGCACGCAGGAGTCATGAGGCAAATAGCATAAAGCACAAGAAAAATATATAACGACTTAGGGCTAGCCATTGTAAGTTCAGAGTCACTTGCCCCAACTGTACACATGTAACAGTGCGTGTGTACAGTTTCATGTTGACGAAACAGTCTATCACTCTGTCATACAGTACACGCTTTTATTTTTTGTTGTCTTAGGCTACCTGGTTAAAATGCTTGTTCGCTAGCCTAACTTCCATACATGGGCAACATTAACTAGTTAACATTAGCCTTCTACATCTAGCTACATATTGAACTTCCATCCTCTCAGGCCAGGGGCACAACAATGTATGAATTAATGGTTGGATCAGAATCGCCGTTATAATCTTTGGCCAGTACGGAGAATTAAGTAAAACCACAAGTCCAAATCCCTATCTCCATCCATGGCTAATTTAGGAAAGGGACAATTTTAGCTAGCTGGCAGAGGACTACAACAACACAATGTTTTCCGGTCAATGATGTATGCTCTCAATGGGATTTGATAGGAGTGACGCCAAATTCAAGCTGGCTTCCCTTGGCACTTTTGTTTGGTGCGCCAGGACCATTCACAGTTGAGCTCGCTCAGTTTAGCTCAACACTGATTGGCTAATTTGTATACTTTTTTTATCAAGGGAGGCCAGATGGTCACTGGCTTCCCTTGCCTTCAATGCTACGGGCGGCAACAATGTCATACTCGTTGGGACAGTATCAGATACATGGCCTACACGTAGAGAGACAGAGGGGCGCTGTTTCGCTCGCTCGTTTGCTTTCTCCTGTGAGATACATTCAGCCTCTTGCAAATTGAAGGAACATTATGAAACACAGAGAGACAAAAGATACATTATTTTTTTATTGGTCAAGTTTTGGGGAAGCCTGGCTTCCCTTGGCACCCATGAATACACACCACTGGAGATCTCTCTCTCTCTCTCTCTCTCTCTCTCTCTCCCCCACACCTGCTGTCTCGACCTCTGAATGTTTCGGCTATGAAAAGCCAACTGACATTTACTCCTAGGTGCTGACCTGTTGCACCCTCTACAACCACTGTGATTATTATTTGACCCTGCTGGTCATCTATAAACGTTTCAACATCTTGAAGAACGATCTGGCCTTAATGGCCATGTACTCTTGAAATCTCCACCCGGCACAACCAGAAGAGGACTAGCCACCGCTCAGAGCCTGGTTCCTCTCTAGGTTTCTTCCTAGGTTCCTGCCTTTCTAGGGAGTTTTTCCCAGCCACCGTGCTTCTACATCTGCATTGCTTTCTGTTGGGGTTTTAGGCTTGGTTTCTGTATAAGCACTTTGTGACATCTGCTGATGTAAAAAGGGCTTTATAAATAAATGTGATTGATTGATTGATTGATTGATGGACCCACATTGTGGGTCTTCTTGCTAGCCATCTCAGCTAGCCTATCACCCCCTCCATACATGGCAAATGGGTGCCTGTTTTCCTTGTCGGTTTCTTTGGTCTTCTGTAGCTGGCTCCTCGCCCTTGGGGGCTTTCTGGACTGTTTGGCTGTATTTTGAGCCTCTGGCTTCTTCCCTGGCTCAGAAGCAGTTAATCCTTTTCCCAGCTTCTCTTCCTCTGTCTCTCCACAGCCTCCGTCCACAGCACCCTGTACATCTAGGAAGGGATGAGGAACACTTATGAGTTCTATCATTTTATTAGTATACCTTATGCTTTTTATATGTGCAAGTGTTGTAGAAACCGTCAAGACATTTACATTTACATAATTTAGCAGACGCTAAATGGGGGGGTGGGGGAGGGGAGGGGGGGGGGTAGAAAGATTACTTTATACTATTCCAGGTATTCCTTAAAGAGGTAGGGTTTCAAGTGTCTCCGGAAGGTGGTCAGTGACTCCGCTGTCCTGGCGTCGTGGGGGAGCTTGTTCCAAGAGACAGTGGGAGTGATACAAAATATTTATATCATGTAATAACCTTTTTATAGTATAAATATTTGTTTTATTAACTTTATTGGACCAGGGACAGTGTACAGCAAAATATAAGTCTCAGGGCCGGTCCTTGCCGTTCTGCCGCCATAGGCTCGACCAAATAATGCTGCCCCTGCAAACCTAGAATAGTCCCAGTAAGCAAAATGACTGAAAACAAGTCTGGTTCAATTTAGGTTCTGAATGAAAGGTGAAAAGGTATTTTCCGTATGTTTAAAATACATCTTTTCCAGGACATTGAAAAGGCAAATTTTCCGGATGTTGAAAAATACTTATTTTCCGGACATTGAAATCAGGTTCATTTTCGGTTCTGATTGAAAGTTGAAAATACTTATTTTCCTGATTTTCAAAATAAGTATTTTACAGATGTTGAAAATATGTATTTTACAGATGTTGAAATCAGTCTCATTTTTGGTTCTGAATGAAAGTTGAAAATAAGTCATTTATAGATGTCTATGTTTGGGCCAAATCAATGCTGGTCCAGAACTGCACCAAAAAAAGACGCCCTAAAGGCGTCAGCGTTGGTCCGTGCTTACTGAGGTGCCTGAAATGGAATTTTATGAATGCCCTTCTATGTGGTAAGCCTACCGTTTGTAAAACAAGTCCGTACAGGACCAGAAAAAGACTTCCAAAAGACATTGGCTCATGCTTACTGGGGTGTAGCCTGCAATGTCGGCCCACAATGGAATTTTATGAATGGCCATCCATGTGGTAGGGCCACCTTTTGTAAAACAGGCTATTGTATTGGCTTTATTAGTCCTGATTCCTGTGACTAATCAATTTGGCTATTTAAACTCTGAATATCAGCTACCCAACTATATCAGGAGTTATTGTTAGCCTGTTTGCAATGTGTTTACTTTACACAGCCAGAAATACAGAATTATTTTATTTTTCGCTATGATCAGCTTGTCAAAAATGGAGGGATACAAACTTGAAACCACTGATCATGACAATGGGGTGAAACTCCTGGACAACAGTTGTGATTGTCCATTCCATATTGTCCATTTTACTTTGACCTGTCCTGTTTTTAGGATAAGTTGTTTGTTAACATGACAGCTCATTTCTTATTTGCTTGTGCGCCTTTTAGGTTAGGCTATTTGATCTGAGAAACCTGCATGATGTAAAAATGGTTTGTCTCATTACATTGTCATTATCTCTAGCCTGTAGGCTACAGAAAAGGCCACATAGTATTTCTACCATCTATATCTGCTACAGGATTTTTGTAAGATTTTTTTTTTGATGGAATGTTGGTGGAGTGCTGCAGAGATGTGTCTCTCCAACAGCACCCTGGAGGGGCATGCTGGGAACAGACAAGAAAAATATTTTGCACCCCCTGCATTTGACAAAGTGGGCACTGCTTATTGAAGGGCGGCATCAGCGCTCACCTAAAAAGCCCATATGCCACTAGTTGAAAGAAATTGTCATTGTTTTTGGGCAGAATTATGTGAGGTTTAATGTGTTGTTGTTGGAGGTGCCTCTTGGTCAGTTTAGCTGAGAAAATGCCTCCCTCCTCAATCTGCCGCCATAGGCGGCCGCCTAATCCTGCCTAATGAGCGGGCCGGCTGTGAGTCTCAGTACTCTTGAGAAATGATGTCATACAAGATTTAGCTAACAGATAATTACTATCTGCATAAACATTGTTTTAAACATCTAAAATAAATTGGTGAAATTGTGTAAGACAATGTAAGAAAATTAGTGAGTAGAAATGCATAATGAAACAAACATTTTAATATTTATATTCTTACTGATTGATAATAAACTGTAAACATGAAACATTTACCTTAAAATTGCTTTCCCAATGGGTGGAGAGGTCTCTGGAGGTGCAACTTCGTGCAGTTCTTCTGAAATGGGGATCTTCTGTTCCAATGGTTCTTTAGGTGGAATCTTTCTCTCACGTTCTAGTTGTGATACTTCTTTTAGTACCAATGGCTCAACTTTATTATTTTGAGAAGTGGACCTGCTGGATTCCGAGTCACTGTCACAGTTCCAAAACCACGGATTATGTGTTTGTTCCAAAAGCCTTCTCGTCAGTCTTAACTTTACCATCTCCTCATAACACTTGGCGTAGGTTTCCCATTTCGTGTCCTTGAATCTTTTCATATGCTCCGTTCGCATCCTCTTTGTAAACATTCTTAATTTCAGTTTGTTAGACCTTTTTCAAAAAGAAAATGTGATTGAATCAATTTCTGCTCTGTTACATTGTAAAACTGTTACATAGTAGCGAGCAATACCATACTTTAGTAGCCTATACTCATCCCGCGCCAGGCATTTAAACCAAAACATAGGGGCTGTAGTACAAACTCTAGTGAAAAGACACTAATAGCTGAACAGCTGTGAGGGTGTGTCGCATAGGTGACACACGGGTTAATGCGTCGTCATACAGAGGGCGTTCTTCAAACAACTCTTCTATGCCGTAATATTTTCAGTGTAGGAGAAAATTGTGGTTTTGTCATTCATCCTTATTTGAAGCTATAGCCAATTAGTAATAACGCTCGTTGTAATTGAATTGCTTTAGTTATTCCTCTGTAGCTCAGCTGGTAGAGCACGGCGCTTGTAACGCCAAGGTAGTGGGTTCGATCCCCGGGACCACCCGTACACAAAAAAAAAATGTATGCACGCATGACTGTAAGTCGCTTTGGATAAAAGCGTCTGCTAAATGGCATATTATAATGTTGTAGGGGTATGCATGGGTGTCCGAGCTGTGTGCTAGTAGTTTAAACAGACACCAGTGCATTCAGCATGTCAACACTTCTTACAAAAACAAGTAGTGACGAAGTCAATCTCTCCTCCACTTTGAGCCATGAGAGATTTACATGCATACTATTAATGTTAGCTCTCCGTGTACATTTAAGGGCCAGCCGTGCTGCCCTGTTCTGAGGCTATTTTAATTTTCCGAGGTCTCTCTTTGTGGCACCTGACCACACATATGAACAGTAGTCCAGGTGCGACAAAGCTAGGGCCTGTAGGACCTGCCTTGTTGACAGTGTTGTTAAAAAGGCAGAGCAGCGCTTTATTATGGACAGACTTCTCCCCATTTTAGCTACTGTTGTATCAACATGTTTTGACCCTGACAGTTTACAATCCAGGGTTACTCCAAGCAGTTTAGTCACCTTAACTTGCTTTAGTTGAGGTTTAGGGTTTAGTGAATTATTTGTCCCAAATACAATGCTTTTGTTTTAGAAATATTTAGGACTAACTTATTCCTTGCCACCCATTCTGAAACTAACTGCAGCTCAGTGTTGCAGTGATTTCACTCGCTGTAGTAGCTGACGTGTATAGTGTTGAGTTATCCGCATATATAGACACACTGGCTTTACTCAAAGCCAGTGGCATGACATTAGTAAAGATTGAAAAAAGTAAGGGGGCTAGACAGTTGCCCTGGGCAATTCCTGATTCTACCTGGATTATGTTGGAGAGGCTTCCATTAAAGAAGATCCTCTGTGTTCTGTTAGACAGGTAACTATTTATCCACATTATAGCAGGGGGTGTAAAGCCATAACACATACGTTTTTCCATCAACAGACTATGATGATAATGTTGAAAGCAGCACTGAAGTCTAACAAAACAGCTCCCACAATCTTTTTATCATCAATTTCTCTCAGCCAATCATCAGTCATTTGTGTAAGTGCTGTGCTTGTTCAATGTCCTTCCCTATAAGCGTGCTGAAGATCTGTTGTCAATGTGTTTACATTAAAATAGCATTGTATCTGGTCAAACACCGTTTTTTCCTAAAGTTTACTAAGGGGTGGTAACAGGCTGATTGGTCGGCTATTTGAGCCAGTGAAGGGGGCTTTACTATTCCTGGGTAGTGGAATAACTTTTGCTTCCCTCCAGGCCTGAGGGCACACACTTTCTAGTAGGTTTAGATTGAAGATATGGCAAATAGGAGTGGCAAAATCGTCCGCTATTATCCTCAGTAATTTTTCATTCAAGTTGTCAGACCCCGGTGGCTTGTCATTGTTGATAGACAACAATATTTGTTTCACTTTTTCCACACTCACTTTACGGAATTCTAAATTACAATGCTTGTCTTTCATTATTTGATAAGTTATACTTGGATTTGTAGTGTCGATTGATTATTAGTTGATTATTAAACTGTTATGACATATTATATATTATTGTAAGATTAAGCTGCGCATAGGCCTGCTATTTAAGTGATAGCATATCAATCTCCAGATTCTATTGTCAGAATACACTATGTAAGAAAATCAAACGACTATGTAACCTAATGTCTACTGCAACGAATGCAAAATGTGCAAGAGAACCAGATTATGCACAGTGTAGCCTATATCCGATTTTATTCTGCACAGAACTAGAGAATGTGTGTCTGAAAATGTATTGCAAATCGTAGGTTTGAAAATTATAAAGTCTTATATTTACAGCATATAGATTTACTGGCTCGGATTTTACGGAAGCAAAACACAACAGATGGTGTTTCGTGTGCAGTAATCATAGTCAGGCTACGTTTTAGGCCCGCCCGTAGTTGAGATGCATTTAAAAGTCAATTTTCTTCCAACAGGTGTTCGAATAGATGATAATAGGGTGAGAATACACCGACCAAATGAAACATAGTACAAAATGAATCCGATTAGATCATCTTTTAAATACACTTTGTGTACAAAACATTAGGAACTCCTTCCTAATATTGAGTTGCACCCCCTTTTGCCCTCAGAACATGGAAGCTACAAGGTGTCGAAAGCGTTCCACAGGGATGCTGGCCCATGTTCACTCCAATGCTTGGCCCATGTTGACTCCAATGCTTCCCACAGTTGTGTCAAGTTGGCTGGATGTCCTTTAGGTGGTGGACCCATCAGCATTGCAGTTCTTGACGCACTCAAACCGGTGAGCCTGGCACCTACTACCATACCCCGTTCAGAGGCACTTAAATATTCTGTCTTGCCATTAACACTCTGAATGGCACACATACACAACCCATATCTCAACTCAAGGCTTAAAAATCCTTCTTTAACCTGTCTCCTCCCCTTCATCTACACTGATTGAAGTGGATTTAACAGATGACATCAATAAGGGATTATAGCTTTCACCTAGATTCACCTGGTCAGTCTATGTCATGGAAAGAGCAGGTGTTCCTAATGTTTTGTACACTCAGTGTAGATGGCTAGAATACAGGAATCTGTTTGTTAAAATTGATGTCAGAAGAATGCTCCAGCCCTGCTCTAACAAGGTCCTGGTGAACAGCTGCTATTACCCTAGACTCAGTGTGCTAGACTAGCTAGGGGAATGTTTGGTCAAAATCGGGGGTAGTTCTACCCATCTTTTCAAGAGGGATGGGGAAGGCGCTTTGGAGATGTTGAAATGTGTGAGAGAGATTTGCACTAAGGTGGTGGTCAATTATTTGCCCATGCAATACATTCTAAACAAGGCTTCCACAGTCTGTCCTTGGAATATGAGATTGGTATCAAAAGTCAAATCTGTGTTGTTGTGATGTTTAAAGTAGACGTGAAGGAGCAAGCATGGCACATTCCAGCGAAGTCATGCCTGACAGTCAGTCACCTTTCACTCTCGCCAAGCCAAATCAAGGGTCAAATCTCTTGTAGTAGACTCGAAGCAAATCAGGTTGCACTATAGCAGTAGCCTATTATAATCCTGCATTTGTGTAATTTGATGACAATGTTTGACTACTTTGATCGATAATTCCTTTGCATTTATTATAGCCCATTATCTCTAACATTATCTATTATCTCTAACATTATCCTACAGTGCCATACCATATTCAGCATGGAAATCCTAAACATACCATGCATTCGAGTGTCCACGAGTATTGGACTAGGTCTATTGGTTTATTGCGTGATGATCATGTTATGTGCTTTACTACATAGGCCTACATATTGCGGCTTGATGATTATAAAACAGACATATGAAAATACAAAATAATGGACTTTAATAACTTAGTATTTATGTACATTTACATTCACATGTTGAATAATAACATGTAATGTCTCGTTCTTATTGATGCTGGTTCACATTTGCAGATTTTCTTTCCAGATAACACACGGTTACAAAATAAAATTGTTACAAAAACAGTCCAGTGAGAACATTGTGTTGTTCCTCTTGGGGATCCAGAGCAAACAGACGCAGGAGATGATACATTTAGAAGCACTTGCGGTGGACAATGCTGGGGCCTGCCTCATCGTATTCCTGCTTGCTGATCCACATGGCCTGGAAAGTGGACAGGGAAGCCAGGATGGAGCCACCGATCCAGACGGAGTATTTACGCTCAGGTGGGGCAATGATCTATAGAGAAAGAAGTTGACTATGAGTAAAAACCATGACATATTTTATTTAATTGTTGAGATCTAAATGTTTCTTTTTTTTTTTTTTTTTTTTACAAAAACTGGAAGGTATAAATAAGAATATTGTTATTGGGTTGTCATATAATTACCTTGATTTTCATGGTGCTGGGAGCCAGGGCGGTGATCTCCTTTTGCATACGGTCAGCAATACCAGGGTACATTGTGGTACCACCGGACAGGACATTGTTGGCATACAGGTCCTTACGGATGTCAATGTCGCACTTCATGATGCTGTTGTAGGCGGTCTCGTGAATACCGGCAGACTCCATACCTGTTCAGATTATACCGTATTAGAAACAGCACGTCTCTATTTTGACCAACATAATAGGCATATAAATTAGCCTTACTCGTTATATGATGATTACATACCAATGAAGGAAGGCTGGAAGAGGGTCTCTGGGCAACGGAAACGCTCGTTACCGATGGTGATGACCTGACCATCGGGAAGCTCATAGCTCTTCTCCAGGGAGGAGGAGGAGGCGGCGGTGGCCATCTCGTTCTCGAAGTCCAGAGCCACATAGCACAGCTTCTCCTTGATGTCACGCACGATCTCACGCTCGGCTGTAATGAACAAGTATTTTTGCTCAGAACATGGATCAAATCATTGCAATTACGTACATCTTGAGCGTTTTAGCGCTTTTTACAGATTAAGCATGTCATTCTGCTGGTGCGTAAAACAATGCAAACGAAATCTCACCAGTTGTGACGAAAGAGTAGCCACGCTCAGTGAGGATCTTCATGAGGTAGTCAGTCAGATCGCGACCAGCCAGATCCAGACGCATGATGGCGTGGGGAAGAGCATAACCTTCATAGATGGGCACGTTGTGGGTCACACCATCACCGGAGTCCAGCACGATACCTTTAACACAAACGAAAACGTCAATATTCAGTTGACTGAACTCATTGTATAGACACATTGTAGGCCACACGCTACATTCCTTACCAGTGGTACGACCGGAGGCGTACAGGGACAGCACAGCCTGGATGGCAACATACATGGCGGGGACATTGAAGGTCTCAAACATGATCTGGGTCATCTTTTCACGGTTAGCCTTGGGGTTCAGGGGGGCCTCAGTGAGCAGGGTGGGGTGCTCCTCGGGGGCCACACGCAGCTCGTTGTAGAAGGTGTGGTGCCAGATCTTCTCCATATCGTCCCAGTTAGTGATGATACCGTGCTCGATGGGGTACTTAAGAGTGAGGATTCCTCTCTTGCTCTGAGCTTCATCTCCTACGTAGGAGTCCTTCTGACCCATACCGACCATGACACCCTGGAAGAAAGACGAGACTCTTTGGCCTATATGGTGGCATAGCCTAATTGCAGTCAAAACATTACGTGGGAACGCATAGATAGATAATGGATAATAAAGAATTTACGGGGCAAATTGCGTAATATGGGCCTGTTGCAGGCGTCTTCGGAGAGCCGATCATACCTGGTGACGAGGGCGACCAACGATGGAGGGGAAGACAGCCCTGGGGGCGTCATCACCGGCGAAGCCAGCCTTCACAAGGCCAGAGCCGTTGTCGCACACAAGAGCGGTAGTCTCGTCGTCGTCACACATCTTGGGTTCTTAATAATTCACATACAAAAATAACTGTCATATTTCTGCAGGGCGCATGCACACACGCCGGAGCTGAGCAACACATCAGGACAACATAACGCACGATGCGCACCTAAACGTTGTCTAACAAATTATATATTGTACAAGCCACAGATGACAGCTTAAGACACAGGCCTTGTTGAGTGAGAAAATCATTACATTTGCTCAGAAACGTGTTATGTTGAATTGAGTTTAGGCACAAGTCATTTGAGTTGTGTCTACATTTGGTTAGAATTACGCATTGATATTGTCGCCTGCTGAATAGCCTACTGGAAATGTTCTCATCGTATACACGTTATACACTCATTTGTTGTATGAGTGAAATGATCTCTCCAATTATGATGCATTGTTTCTCAACTCCATGAAACCACTCCAATTTATTTCAATAACACAATGTCAATGGGCTGTTAAATCATTAGGTAACCAAGCCTAGGCTATTTGGCCAGTTGTTTGTTTCAATAAAGTCTACAAACAAGGCCAAGGGTTTACCAAGTAATCTGACAGAAAGGAAAATTTGTATTTTATCTTTGTTCTACCCTTCCCCATTTTAAAATTGTTTCTGTAGCCTATACAATGATTCCATGCGTAATTGGAATGCGCAATTCCTTCAGGTGAAGAGCCTGTGACATCACTATATGTATATTTTGTAATATTAATTGGCCCCGCAATGTAAAATAAAAAATAAGGGTATATCCTTTGAGATCAGTCCATGAATATTAGATCCAGTCTTTGAGGTTTGGGTTGATTCCATGTTCCTTACCTTTGGTGGTGTCTGTCTCAGATGAAGCTCAGAACGCGGAAAGCAACTGCTGTTGGATCGAGCTATAGTGGCACTTCCAACCTTATATACTCACCGCGTGCGGCCTATTTCCCTTACCCACCATTGAGAATGTCTACGTATTCCATTGGACATTTTCCCAGCCGTCATCCATATTAGGTTCTTCGGTGTGACGGGGGAACTTTTCAGGCAGGCTACAGGGCTCCCCGGTTTCGAAGTGAGCAGGGCTCTCCATGTATGGGACTGTGGTGCTGATTCCAAGCCACGGCGCCAGGGCCGTATATGGAGAGCCAGTGATTTGTAAGACACCCTCGTGGCATAGCAAACTACAACTGCAAACAGGATCGCGGTTGGAAAGCCCTTATCGAGGACCGCAACTTTATAGCCATATATGAATGACAACACGAAGGAAAGAAGGTAGTTTAAATGATTGTTCTGTCATACTACTGCAGGTTGATTACAAACATTGTAATGTTTCTTTGAGCTTGGAATTGCAATTGCACAGCCGTGTTAACAATGGGTTGGTCTGTAATGCCATTGTGCTCTGTAATCGTTGCTGCTTGGGTCTTTGGGTTTTGCTCAGTTTAGAGCTCTAGAACCCGGTGCATACCTACTGTGGAATAGCCGTAGGTTATCCAAACAATAACAGATGCCGCATTGATTCAGGCATTGCATAGGCTGCGTTTAACACAACTATTTACATGGTGCTATTTGCTAATTGCATGCTAAGTTAACATTTTGAAACGTTAATTTTGTGACGAGACCAAATAAAGATTTCATTATTATTATTAGCCTACATCATTGTGCAGCCATAGCCTGTCCTCTTTTCAATCACCATATGGCCAGCACCCGACATATTCTCTGAAACAGCTGATAACAGCTAGCCTAGTAGGTTATTCATTGTTGGTATTGTCACTTAGGCTATACCTAAAATTAGGGTTGTTAAAAAAAGTTCCAGTAGGTCAAATACATTGAGAATGTGACTTTCTACTTCTCATATACTTGAGACATTTCAAGACGTAGTGGCCAGGTCATCTGCTCACAGCAACACCCAAGACAAATAATTTGTTGACAGAGACCACAGGAGCCCAGGGTTAACTCAGTGTTGGCATGACGACCATGTCTCAAACATTCAGCTGTGTATCCTGAACATATGACATAATAAGCTATCCAAGAACCTCATATCCAACCTTATAATGCTGTGTTCAATGAAAATGAAAAGCTGCACAGCAATCTTTTCCATTGAAATTCAGTGTAAATCACAGTACTTCCATGAGCTCGATCTAATGTATTGTGTTGTACAAAATACAGTACATAAAGCATTTATTTTAGTAGGTCTTCATCTGAGGCTCGTTTGGTTTGAAAGGGTCTGTGATCCCAGCTGCTGCCACTCCACTGTCAGGCATGTGTCAGTTTGGTAGGAGGGGAGGCAGTAAGAGGGACAACTGCCACTACGCCTCCCCCTGTCACCAAGGGAAAATATACAGCTTAGCCGCTCAGAGGACCACTCCAGCCTGGGCTGGAGAACCCTACACTCTTAGAACCCTTTTTGGTTATATATTATCATATATTATGGCACGCTTAAAGGTTCTATATAGAACCCCAATTAACCCTTTTCTTGAATAGCCTAGAACCTTTAGGGGTGGCATATATGAAGCAAGCAATAGATACCTTTTACAGCCTTTTTTCTAAGAGTGTAATAGGACAAGGATAGACTAGGGCTGGGATTCAATCCGATCACCTCATGAGTACCCCATCAGAACCCAAAATATAAGCTTGTTTTACTCCAATGTTAGTAAACAATGTAAACGTAAACAAACAGCCTCAAAACATGGTTAAAACTATACTTTTGATATCATGGATGGTCAGTCCTTGCATCCATAGCACTGTCTATGAATTTGAGTGGTTACATTTCTCCAAGCCCATCCCTCAGAGTTTTACCAAAACAGAGGCAGGTTGCCCACTTTGTTATTGTTTCAATTAAGGATTCTAGCTTTAATGAGGTTCAGAGGCCTCTTCTAGTCACCCTCCCTAAAATAAAACAAAATCGAATATGTCAGCCAGACAGCCACTCACCAAGTTTAGACCACTGATTGGTGTCCATGGTGCTGAAATTGTGACATGTCTGTGCAGCTGCCTCTCAAATCGATGATAGGCTTTGTGTGGTGCCAGGGCATGTAGCATATAGCTTTGCTTTAGCTGATGGATAAATGTTTATTAACAAAAACTATAACTGTCCTGTATAGCCTACCGGAACCTGCATGCCATGAGCACTGTGCCCAGGTTAATGAGGTCACACTGTTGATAAAAAAAATGACCTCAAAAAAAGTTAATGAATACATACAATCAAATAATAATTCATAATAGATCAAAAATGTATTTCCCGACATATACAGTACCAGTCAAAAGTTTAGACACACCTACTCATTCAATGGGTTTTTCTTTATTTTTACTATTTTCTACATTGTAGAATAATAGTGAAGACATCGAAACTATGAAATAACACATATGGAATCATGTAGTAACCAAAAACATGTTAAACAAATCAAAATATATTTTATATTTGAGATTCTTCAAATAGCCACCCTTTGCCTTGATGACAGCTTTGCACACTCTTGGCATTCTCTCAACCAGCTTCATGAGGAATGCATTTCAATTAACAGGTGTGCCTTCTTAAAAGTTAATTTATGGAATTTATTTCCTTCTTAATGCATTTGAGCCAATCAGTTGTGTTGTGAGAAGGTAGGGGGGGTATACAGAAGAAAGCCCTATTTGGTAAAAGACCAAGTCCATATTATGGCAAGAACAGCTTAAATAAGCAAAGAGAAACGACAGTCCATCATTACTTTAAAACATGAAGGTCAGTCAATCCGGAAAATGTCAAGAACTTTGCAAGTTTCTTCGTGCAGTTGCAAAAACCATCAAGCGCTATGATGAAACTGGCTCTCATGAGGACCGCCACAGGAAAGGAAGACCCAGAGTTACCTCTGCTGCAGAGGATATTAGAGTTACCAGCCTCAGAAATAGGCAATTAACTGCACCTCAGATTGCACCCCAAATAAATGCTTCACAGAGTGCTGAGCACTTGTTGGCTGCTGAGCACTTGTTGGCTGCATTTCCTTCACTCTGTGGTCCAACTCATCCCAAACCATCTCAATTGGGTTGAGGTCGGGTGATTGTGGAAGCCAGATCATCTGATGCAGCACTCCATCACTGATCCCCCCCAAAAAACATCTGCCTCAATCTACACACAATACCCCATAATGACAAAGTTAAAACAGGTTTTTAGAAATGTTTGCTAATTTATAAAAATGCTCAGGTGCATTCTGTTTCCATTGATCATCCTTGAGATGTTTCTACAACTTGATTGGAGTCCACCTGTGGTAAATTCAATTGATTGGACATGATTTGGAAAGGCACACACCTGTCCAGGATTGGGTAGGTTACTTTCTTAATGTAGTCCGTTACTAGTTACCTGTCCAAAATTGTAATCAGTAACGTAACTTTTGGATTACCCAAACTCAGTAATGTAATCTGATTACATTCAGTTACTTTTAGATTACTTTCCCCTTGAGGCATTAGAAGAAGACAAAAATGTATGTTAACAATTGAACGACATCTATTGCAGGATAAATCAATGTTAAAGTTTACATAGCTGGTGTCACGTTTACTCCCGCTCCTCCCCTCCTGCGTTCGACGTTGCCCGTTTACTAACCACCGGTCCTGGCAACCATCATTACGCACACCTGGCTTCAATCATTACACGCACCTGCACTTCATCATGAGGCACACCTGGACTCCGTTACCTCACTTATTACCTCCCCTTTATCTGGCACTCCCGTAGGTTCATTCCCCAGGCAGTATTGTTTCTGTGTTTCATGTCAAGACGCCACTCCTTTGTTGTATTGTTCCATGTTCTCTGTTGTATTAAACTTACCAACTGCACTTGCTTCCCGACTCCCAGCACCTTCGTTACGGAATACTGGCTCAACAAATGGAAGCAGCCGGAAATCAGGACATCTCCCAGATGATCGACGAACAGGGACACCTACTACGTCCCACCACAATATTCTTTGGGAGTGTCTGTACCCACATCACTTCTCTCCCTCCCTCAGTGAACACTCTGTATCAGAGCCTGAACCTATGGAGGTAGGGATCACACGCCTCTTCGCAACAGACGGAG